AGGTTTTTTTTTATCTCTCTCTAGCAGTCGCTTTATCTTCCTCTTCTCCTCTGAAGTGTTGCTAAAAAGTATTTTCTAGAAACGGATCCAAGAAGTGCATGTAGTCGATGTTGGAAATTGGGATAAACCCATTCATAAACAAGAGTATGTTTCTACTACCGGAGTGTTAATGCCGTTCTATGACAGAGATACTAAGTTAGTATTTCTCGTCGGAAAAGGAACTAATAAGCTGTTTTTGGCCGAATTTCAGTCAAAGACACCATTTTTGTCTCCAGGTACGTTTTCTTCGCCAATTTTGATTCAAATGTTGATCTCTTCTTCAACCACTTTGATTTTCAGTCTATGAAATGGCAATGGCGGAGCAGAATCTCGGTGCTTGTATGGGCAGTAAACACAATCTCAATGTTATGAGCGGTGAAGTGGATACATTCTATCAACTTACCAAACATAGCATACTGCCAGTTCCTTGTATAGTGCCGCGAAGAGTAAGCCCTCATTCCTGTTTTGTTTAGAGAAATTTCTTTCAAAAATTAAGATAGTCAGAGCATTTTGTTTGCACTACCCAATCATTGTAATTTATTTTATTTATTTGTTTTCTGTGTGTTGATTACTCACACTTATCTTGAATCTTTTTCCAGTCTTATCGCGATTTTCACCCTGATCTATATCCTGACACTCGGGGGAAGGAAGCTGGATGCTCATCTTCGGAATGGCTGAAGGGTTCTGATGTTCCTGTAGGTTTATTTTCGCTTGGAGTTATCGATCTATTATAGTCACAGTTTTTTGGATATTGCCCTCTTACAACGGAGGGTCACGAAGTCGAAGTGGCCAATCACAGCAAACTGCATACCATTAGTGAGAGCTTGAAGCGCTGATTCCGAATCTGCCTTCCTTATCTGCAGAGCGCCTTTGGGAAAGAAGCTAAACTTGATTTTTTGTTCGAAAAATTAAGTACCGGCTAGGATAAAATTGATCGTTACAGCCTTTCAAGACGTCAGATGGAGAAATAGGAGACACTGGTATACTAGGCAGAAGAAGTATATTTTATGAACTATCTGACACTTGCCGCTGCTTTAGAAGGTCTAATACTGTAGCGACTGATTGTATCATGGCCATTAATTCATTTTCCTACTTGAAAAAATGCTCATAACCTCTTTTTTGGAAGCGATCTGCAGATCTT